ATGAAACAATAGGATTGTCGCATTTGTGGATATATGAATGTATGTATGTGTGCATGTAGGCGTGGATAGCTGTGTTTATGGTATTGTAGAGGTTTTCCTGCACTTTTGATTGCGTTTGAAAATGTCACCACTGCTAAATGAATGCTGGATGTTTGGATTTGAAGCAGTTGTCCGGGTAAGCAATGGGGTGACTTTAGTTAGTGGCGAGTCATAACCGTCACGTCACAGTATTGTTAAACAGACATTTGTGGCTTTTTATAGGGAGAACGCTTGCCAGGCGAAAACCCACCACGTCCTGGAACACTGCCGCCGAACTATTTGCTGGAACGGGGTGATCCTTAACCACCCAGCTGGCACCACGAGGTTGTTAGGCTAGCCAGTCCACCGCCTATATCGCTTCTAAAACATAAATTTATACTTCGTATTCGGAATCGCTCTTGATTTGGAGCATGACAAGCAACTGTTAACAAATTTGCACCAGTTGTCAGCCACCTTGGGCTGTACTTTGCACTACATCCAAATGCAAAGCTTTGTTCCTAAATTTGGCGGAGATCAACTAACAGTAGTTCGGAAATTCAACTAACTGGGAAGCTGTATCAGAGCCTACGGAATGAAAAATGACCACACGAACCGTATGGTAATAGTTTGAGCTCCATTTGCTTAGCTATGAATTTACCTTGAGAAGACCAGTCATTTAGCTATATTGGCGGGACAGTTCGATCCTTTTATTCATCGCGTTTGATTAGCATGTTTTATTTAACGCCTCTCATAGCGATGCATCAGCCTGAAGATGAAGTCCTGAACAGGAGCTCGTTCACGTCTTTACCTTGCACCACCCCGCTTAGCATTCCCCTCCAATTACCCTCACATTGTTAACGAATAATACAGAACAAAGCAGAATATGAGTTCGGGTGCGCAACACCCCATACTCATCTGTCTTAGGTATGGTGACGGAAATGACCAATGTTCACTTCAAATGAAGTCGTTGTTCACACTGAGATTGCGCATCGTAATCCATTCACACTGTACCGACACTTCGATGTCATGCAACCACCACTAGTCGCGAGTGCGAGGACGCCCGCCCCTAAGCGGATTCGAACCGCTAACGGCTGAAGGGTAGCAACCATCGCAATGAGGCCGGACCTTACCGTGGTGCGATGGTTTGTGTGCCTCAGCGATTCAGTGAGCTATGCTGGGTGGTGCATTTTTGCACCTTCAGAGCCACTCATACCAGATTGGTCAATGGTTAGAGGCCACACAAACTCAGCCTCCTGGTTGGGGTTGGAATGAGGGTGACTCCTTATTCCTTAAAACGGACTCCTTGTAGCTCAACGCTAAACCCGCTGCCTTGCGGTCAGGTTTTTGAACCAAAGGCTTTGGTTGAGAACCCTAATCGTTCTCCTGCGTATGCCTGGGCAACCTGATAGTATCCTGCCTACGCAATACAATGAATCTCTGTTCAAACAAATTGCCGATGCTCTGGCCACCGCAGAGGATAATCCACGTTGCCCTATCTGCTGCATCGAGCAGGGTAGATAGGGCTTTGGATGCTACATCCCAAGCCTTCCCGTCTTCTTATTCCCACTCTTACGCTTTTTCACCCTTATCGTCCAGTTCCAGCTTTAGTTTTATTCCCCCTGTTTTCAACCCCCCAATTATTGGCCCTCCTCCACCTTGCTGCAATAGTCGCATGTCTTAAAGTTTCAACTCACATGTGAACGCGGAGCGTCATTGCTGCCCTGTCAACAGGCCCATGTCCAAACAAGCGGTCACGCCCAGTTCGTCGACTTCCATTTGGTGCCCTCGATCATCCTTCAGATTGGCATGCCTCAATGTTCGCACATTGCTACAGATCGGTCAATAGGCAGCACTTGCCCGAACATTACAGACCCCCTCGATCGATATCCGCTGCTTATCGGAGACGCGTCTGCTAGACTCGAGCTAGACTCTGTGCTCACTTTGCGATCCCCTTCAGGTGAGACCAGCAGCACTTTCTCATTGCATATATCCGGTGACGATGCAGCTTCGAGCACCGGCCAAGCCGGTGTTGGAATCGTCCTGAGTCCCCGAGCTGAAGCTGCTCTCGTTGACTGGATTCCAATCAGTAGCCGGATGTATGCGGTCCGATTGGCTGGCTCGCTCAAAGTTTCGAAGTCGCGTGTGACTAACCAGTGTCTATTCGTTATCGCTGCCTATGCACAAACAAACTCTAGCAATGATTCGGTAAAAGACGACTTCTATCGCCAAATGAATGAGCTCCTTAGCCACAGAAGCTCGGAAACTGTAATGCTGGCTGGGGATCTGAACACTCAAGTTGGAAAACTATCCACTGATAAACTGTATCTGGGAGGCCAACACGGTGTAGGCTCCCGTAATGATAACGGTGAGCGGTTATTTAATTTGTGTGAACAGGCTCGCTTATTTCTTGCGAGCACTAATTTCCGACACAGCACCCGCTGAAGGGTGACTTGGTGCCCACCAACCTCGAACCAGCTATGAACGCAAATCGATCACATTGAGAAAATTTACCGATGTAGAGGCTGCGTCCAGAACTTTCGCTCGATTTGGAGCACATGTATAGACACCGAACATGCACTTGTATGTGATGACATGTGGATGCGTTTTGGCGGACGCACAAACCGACGTTGTGAGCGCATTGACACCAGCCAACTGACGAAGCCAGCTGTTCTGAATGCCGATCAAACTACGCTATCATGCGAATTGAGTAAGCACTCACTGGTCTCATATTCACCAGACCTTACTAGCAGCAGGAAAATCCTCATGTGGTAAGTCTAATCGCCAACATGGACATTGGGTCTCTTCGCAGTCTCTGGAACTTATCAATGCTCGCCGGCAAATTCCGGCTGGAAGCAAAGATAACCGGGCAAAACTTCGTCCTAGCCTGAAGAGAGACAGCGAACCCTGGTGGTCTCATCGTGCATCAGAGATGGAAATCGCTGCTGCCCTTGCTAACCATCGTAAGTTATTCCGGCTGATACGGGAATCGGGCAGAAGAAGACATGGCGTTAGTGAAACTATACGTGACGAGAGTGGACAGCTTATACACAACTTGTCAAAACGCTTGGAAAATTGGGCTGAGCACTTTGAAAAGCAATTTAATCGGTCGGAATTGTTAGATTTCTCGCTGGCCACTGATCGCCCGCTCCCCAGGCTGTCCCTTTGGATCCACCCTCTCGCTCAGAAGTCAAACGTGAGATCGAAATCTTGAAGTAAAGTAAAGCCGCAGGACCAGATGATCTACATTCAGGAGTTTACAAATTCGGGGGACCTGCTCTTGTGGATGGTTTACACGAGTTACTAGTGAAACTGTGGGAGCAGGAAACTGTCTCAACCGACTGGAGCGGCTCCGTCACAGTCCCAATTATCAAAAGAGGCTCACGATCGGAATGCAGCAACCATAGAGGAATCAGTCTGATCTCCATCGCCTCCAAAGTGCGAGCCTCTGTCAACCTTCACAGACTTGCTGCCACTTGTGAAAGCCAGATTTGTGAAGAGCAAGCCGGGTTTCGTCGAAGTAATGGCTTCATTGACCACATCTTCACTTTATGCCAGTTGTTGGAGTACCGTCACACATAGTGGCGGCCCACCGTTGTCATGTTCCTCGATATCAAAGGTGCATTCGATTCGGTGGATAGATGTGCACTTTGGGACTATCTACTAAGGGAAGGTGTATCTGAAAAATATGTAAATATTATCCGAGCACTATACGCGCGCAACTCAGGCAGAGTGAGGGCTTACGGCAAGCTGTCGTCGCCCTCTAATATCTCCAGCGGTGTGAGACAAGGATGCCCGCTGTCACCATTCCTCTTCAACTTCGCTATGGACGAAGTCATGGAAATCGCGTTCACAGGACACGAATTTGAAGGTGTGGACTTGCTCCCAGGAGAACGACTTCTTGACTTGGAGTAAGCTGACGATATTGCCCTAATCTGTGACAGCTGGCAGACGTGCCAAGCGGCACTGGACAGATTAGCACTGGCTGTCAGCCGCTTCGGGCTTTGCTTTGCACCCTCGAAGTGCAAAGCGTTCCTCCAAGCTTAGTCTGGACCGCCTGCTATGCTGACCCTTGATGTCGCTCAACCAGAAGTAATTCAAGAATTCAAATACATTGAAAGTTCTATCAGCGCCCGTGGTGGGATGGAAGATGAGATCACGAACCGTATAGCAAAAGCCCGAGGCGCTTTTGCTAACCTTCGCCAATTATGGCGCCGGCGCGACATCACTCTCGCCCTGAATAGTAGAGTGTACAATGCAGCCATACGTTCGACCCTACCGTACGGTTGCGAAACCTGGCACCTAAGATCGGCGGACATGAAGAGGCTAGTTACGTTGGACCATCGATGCCTTCGCAATTTAGCTCACATCTGGTGGGAACACCGCGTGTGTAACGAGCGTGTTCGACGCCTTGTTTGCGGCACAGGAAAAGGAACTGAACCGCTCAGCACCGTCATTTCACGCGCCAAGCTTCGATGGCTGGGCCACGTGTTGCGCATGCCATCCCACCCAGTTCCACGACGTGCGTTGTTTGCTCACCGGGGATGTGGATGGAAAAAGAGGAGGGGTGGCCAAGCTATGAGTTGATCGAGAGGAATGAAGGCCCTTACTTCTGAGCTGGCTTCGGTTGGAGCGTCACGGCTCCCTGGTTGGGGTCCAAAAGACGGTGGACAAGTTTGGCTGGACACACTTGCTGACATGGCAAGGAGCCGACCTCAGTGGTGTTTTTGCTGTAAGTTTCTTTGTCCCTCCCCATCCACCTACGATCTCATTTCTTAGAGTAGAACATAATAATTTTTCTTTTTGCCTAGTAGCCGGCTGGTAGCTTACCGGAACGAGGCCTATCTGTTGCTGGTAGCTCAGCTGGCATGCAACTGTCGTATTTCTTTTCCTTTTCCTTTATGTATTGCGACATAATAGCTGAGGTGTTTCCCACCTCTAGCTGACGTGTATAATGATGATATGAGACGCGGTAATCAGAAGAGTGATGTGAGGAAGTGTATACTCAAGAACATGCAGTTACGAAGAACATCGGAGAGATAACAAACCGAGTATGTACAGACTAATGGAAGGAAAACGGTATACACTACGAATGAAGCTATATAGTGGTTGATGTAAAAAGTATTAATCAGCGCTGTGCGCGAAGTGATGCACGAAAAGGTCCACCTTCTGTTCATTTGTCCAAGCTTCGATGAGATTGAGTAGCAGTCGTTTGCGATTCAAATACTTAGACTCATCGCCTTCGACGAGAAGAGCCAGCAGTCTCAAGTAAGGACTCAATTCTGCCAGTCTCACTTTCTGTTGTCCCGGCTGGCTGGTTTTGGTAGGGGCGGAGGCTGGATGGACGGTGACAAGCGGAGGCTTCGACTTCCGATCAACGACAGGAGAGCCACTGTACAACGCAGTGTAAGTGTCCTTCTTTTCAGTAGATGCGACTGGAGTGGAATGTACGGTGAAGTGTGGGGCGCTAGAATTGAGGTCTTGGTTGGAAAATGAGGGTGTAATAGATGAAGATAAATTCAACATCGAGCGCTGGTCAGCTTTAAATGCAGCTGGAGTCTTCGGGGCGCATCGCACGTTCTTCTGTCGCAACAACCGACCTCGAGGATAGAAAAAATGACTATGCTGATTATTCACGGCGACAACACACAGCTTGTTGAATTTCGTGCCCAATTTCAGATATGCTCGGCACTCAGAAGGACGAGGCCTAAAAAAGGACAAAGAAGTGAAACTGCATCGAGACGACGTACGAGTTCTCTTTAGATGATTCCTGTTGTGATTTCGGGTTGGTGCACCGGAAGGTCGCAAGTTTATAAACCAACTTCTCGGCTTGTTCGGGGTGTTCGGTGGCAGAAAACTTCTTTGAGTCCTTCATAGCGTAGATACTACCAGTGGCCTGCGTAAGAGACAAATTAAGCGTAATCAGAAAAATTCGAAAAAACTTAATAGCCAATAGGAAAAACAGCAATGATATAGACGAACGACGTGAGGTACAACAGCCTTCGTACATTTATTACTGTAAAAAAAATCGGAGAATATCACCGGCTTTCAACATACATCTCCTCTGAGTCTCAGTACCGGCCTGCATCATTTGCCTATGCATGGTAGCTAATACAAGTATTTAATTACTTACTGTTCGTTTAGTTGCTATAAGCTTCAACAACTTAAGCCAGCATCAGGAGGCTAAGAATACACAACACTGAGTTGATGTAGACGGATTCAAGTGATCGCAGAAAGCAAGGTATCTTTTAATTTGAGCAGCAAATACTTAGCAACGCATGACGAGGATACGGGATAGAGGTGCCAAAGCGATTAAGCAGACGAATCCAAACATCCCGATGTCGAGGGAGTCACTCAGAATGGAGCTAAGTGGCACTGGGGATGGCAAACCCGTGAAAACAGAGCCAGGTGCATGCGTAATCGGATTCAAAGCACCAAGTAGGTAGTAGGAGCAATGTATCGGTGCCCAGCTCTGGTGCTGTGCTGAGGCCCTAACTGGTGACAATGAAAAAAGAGGAGTATCGGGACCTAACGTAACATATTAGTGTGCAAAGCAAACATGACGCTTTGAATATCAATGGAATAGCCAATTTAGGGCTTTCACTACCGCGTCAAGTTTAGCCCGAGTAGTTCAGTGTGCCACCATGAGAATACAAAAAGAGCCCCCATGATGCATGCCACGATAAAACAGAGTATAACTAGAGGAAAGGGACAATTATGGCAAACGCTAACGGTTGTCAGAAGGATATCAGACAACTTGCCGTAGGCCGTAACATGGCTTGTGATGTCAGAGGGAAAGGACGGCTAAATAGTCTGGAAGGAAGAAGCCGTCCCAGCTAACTAGAGTGAATCGATTACAGTGGTGATATACGATAAGGGCAGTCGCATCGTGGAACGAGAATAAAGGGTCAAGTAAGAGCAAGCAGCATTCCGCTCAGGATGGGGCTGTATAGACATATTCCCTCTGCGGCAGATGATAGAGCAGCGGCAGACGCACTGCAGACCTACAATAGCTATATTCCTCGGCTTCAAGAGTGCGTTCGACTCTATCGAGAAACCCATTTTATGCAAAATACTTACGCGGAAAGATACTCCTATGAAATTTGGGAACATTTTACTTGTAACTGTAATCGAACACCATACGCCGCGTCGGGATCAACGGTGACTTGTCGGATGTTTTTCCGATAACAAGTGGCATTCGTCAGGGTTGTGCAATTCCCCTTCACAGTTAACTTCATCATCGAGTGTTCCTTGCGGATCGTCACGATGCAGGCGTTGAGATGCTGCATGGTGAAAAGTTATTTGATCTTGATTATGCGGACGATATTGTCTTGCATTTGAACAATGTCGGGGCTTATTCAAACCTGAATAGCCTCTCGAGAGGGTCCTATTATCATCAATACACGTTAGCTGAGGCTGGGAAACTTGAGCTAATGTGCCGCAACACAAAAAAGTTAAGATACAAAAAATTGCCCTACAAAAAACCGAAAAGCAAGTAATATAATGCTAAATATCATATTACGTATTTGCTATGAGATCGTAACTAAAAGGGAAACTAAAGGACAAACTCACAACACAAACGACACTGGGGCGGGTTCTTCGCCATACCATCAAGCGTGTCCAATCAAACATGTTCACCGTCCTTGGGACCTCAGCCTCGGGACGTTTCAATCGACGCCAACTTCGAAGAGATGCTTTTCATTCCTCTCGATTAAGCCATCCATTGGCCTCCCCTCCTTCTCTTCCATCCAGACCCCGAGCGCCAACAACGCATGGCATGGAAGTCAGGATGCCGGCATGCGTAACAAGTGACCCAACCATTGGAGACTGATGCGTGATATAGTGGTGATGAGCGGTTCACTTGCTCATGCGCTTCGCACTGTCATAGGGCAAAGCGTTGTTACAGGAACACCAGCCACTTAATGACCCCTTGACACATGATGGCGAGGAACTCGACGTAGTTGATTACTTCAAGCAGCTTGGCAACTGCATCAGCAACGATGGACGCACAGAAACAAGTCAGTTCACGTACTACAAAAGCCATAACATACATTTTGAGACTGTGACATCAGCAGCGTCAGAAAGGGATTTCGCTCGGTCTGAAAGGCCACAGTGAAGGCCATCTTAATCTATGGTAGTGAAACGGCTCCTTCGATCTGAGGAGCTGCGGCGCCTTCAAGTCTTTGATCATCGTTGTCTGCAAAGCTTTGTGGGTATAGGATGAGACCAGCGTTTCCGCAAGGATGATGTGCACAGGCGAGTGCTACGCAGCAATAATCACGCTAGTTCCTTAGAACAATAGATAGCAATGAACAAATTGTGTTGGCTTGAGTGCGTGTACTATGTATGACTGGTCACGGCTTACCGAAGAGAGCTTTTTTTGTTTGCCATATGTAGTGGCGCAAAACCCGAGGTGTGCAAAAAGTGACTTGGCAACGGGAAATGAAGTCACTGATTACAAGACTTGTTGCCGTTGGTTCGTCTCGCCTTCCAGACTGGAGTCCATGTGACCCGCCTTGTGCTTGGCTCCAGACTTTACAGGACATGGCTCGCAGTCGGCACCAGCTGCGTGTCTGCCGTCGTCTCTTAGTTGGACTCTTAAAAGTGTATTTGGTGCTAGGCTATCTGCGGTAGTAGCTAATTATAACGCGGGGCAGTAAAAGCCGCAAGGAAGCTGTCTCGCTGATGCCACCTTATCTTTGCCCAAAAGCCAGCTGTTCGCGATGGTATGTTGTTGACAAGACGTAGGCGCCTTGGCCCAGAGTCTCTGTATAGGGCATTAAGGTTTTCCTAAGTCAGCGTGTTTGCACGACAGCGAAGCATAAGTTCAAACAACTAATGTAATGCTGTTGATGATGATATCCGCATGTATGACAGGAAAACCTACAGGGGACAAAACTGAGCAGTAGACTAAATACACTGGGTGTTGAAATCAGCAGTCAGCTTGGGAAAAGGTGTGTGCAGCACTGGGACTTGGCGCCTGAAGAAAAGCTGATTCATGCAGCCATACCGCGTCGTAAGAGTTATAATCTTTTCACTAGAGGCAATTCCGAAATTGGCACTTTACTGCTCCACCAAACTTCTAGCCCAACCAAAGAAAAAAGCAGAACACCAATGACTTTGACAAAATAACACGTTAACCGCCGTCAACAAAACACGACAACCACTGTGGACCTGGACTGCATGCATAGGTCTCTTCCTGACCTTCGACTTCTGTAATTGGAAGGTCAACTACCAAGGTTAGTGGTTTCTCATGGATTTGGCCGAGATGTCAGATGTTTGGTAGTCGCGTGCAGAACGTAGGAAATTCCAGAATGTCCGAAATCGATGCGATAATCGTTAATAATGGATTATTCGCTAAAACAGTAAATTTTCTAGGCAATTCTTACTTTCTCCCGGATACCTCCCTTCCTGAGATATCGTCCGAGGTATACGATGAAAGCCTAGGATTAACTTCCAGTCTTCGGGACGATGTTCTCTGACTGTCGGTCCATCTACTTGGCAGAAGTGCCCGAGAACTGGGCTTCGATATCCGTGGTCTGGACTCCTTGCTTGGCTGTGATCAGTCGTTCACGGCTTCCTTCGGCAAGTTGAAGCTTTCCACCAATAAGTCGAACGGGAGGTCGGTAGTCCTTGCTTGTCCTGGTTGGCAAAGTGTTGGACGTTGCATGCCGTGCCCAGATCTGTGCGCCCAAGATCACGTCATAAATGACATTTCCGCGCTTGTTTTTGACCGTCCCTGGCGTCCATTTCGCGTGGCCTTCCCGATAGTCACGTACTAGCAATTTCTGTTCAAGTGTAAACAATCGTCTCTTTGTTCCATACCGCCAGTTTAAATCCTGTTCCATTATGCGGTTTTTTCCCCAACAGAGAATTCCGAGCGCGGTCGGATGTCGTCAAAAGGCATGCGGAGCACCCGGTTAATTATTGCCTGTGTTGGAGAAACTACGCCCGGCGCTTGTGGATTCGGTGTTGATCGGTAGAGGAAAAGGAACCGGTCAACCACCACCTCTATACGTCCCTCCCCTTTTGATTTGTGGAGAGCTCGCTTGAACGTATCGATAAACCTTTCTGCTTGGCCATTCGACTGTGAGTGAAACGGCGGCGAGCGAATGTGCTGGACTCAGTAAAAGTTGCTGAAGTGAATTGTGTGTCATCGTCAGTTACAATTGTCTCCGGACAGCCGAATCTGCTAAAGGTTTGGCGCAGTCTTGATACAGTGGCATTGGTGGTTGTGCTATCCATGTGAAATACTTCTGGCCACTTGCTGTATGAGACGACTATGATAAGGAAACTTCGGCCGTTGATCGGTCCTGCGAAGTCGACATGAATGCGGCACCATGGTTTAGTAACTTTTGGCCATGAATAGAGTTCTGATTTTTGTGGCACTTTCAAGACATTGGCACACATTTGGCAGCGTTTAGCTATTTCTGCTAACTGCAAGTCCATAAAGGGCCAGTATACATAACTGCGGGCAAGCGCTTCATCCAGTTGATCCCAGGATGTCCGGCGTGGAACTGCCGAACAAGGCGCTTCTGAAGTGCCTTGGGGATGATCACTCTTTCCGAAAGTAGTATGCAGCCGTTTGCAATAGACACCGAGTGTCTCCTCTGAAAGTATTGTTGCAACTCGGCAGATGGACGTGAACGTGGCCAAGTTGTTTTGTGAAATTGTATAGCCTTCTTGAGTATTGGGTCCCGAAGCGTTTCGGTTCGTACAGCTTCTGCGGTAACTAGTAGACCGTGCAGTGCATCACTTACCAGATAGTTGACGTCAGGTACGAGCTCGACCGAGGCAAGGATTGTGTCCTCATGTACTTGCTGGTGGGCATCAGTTACGCGTGACTGTCCATCCGGTTGGCCAATGGAAATTGTCGGCTGATAGTGGATCTCAAAATTATACCCTATTAAAGTAAGAGCTCAACGTTGTAGCCGGTTGGCTGTGTAAGCCGGGATGTACTTTTCGAACCAAAGATAGCCAGCAAGGGCTTGTGATCTGTCAGAAGCTTGAAGCGGCGGCTGTACCGCATTTTGTGGAATCTCTTGATCGCGAACACTATGGCCAATGCTTCTTTCGCGATCTGGCTGTAATTCCGGTCGGCCTACCTAAGTGTTCTGGCGGCATAGGTGATTGCTTTTTGAGATCAATCAGAGTACGTGTGTGAAATTATTGCGCCAATCCCGTGGCTTGATGCATCTATGATTAGGACAATCATTTTGGAGAGATCAAAATGAATCAAAATCAAGTTCAAGGACGCAAAGTTGTAACCCGTTCGAAGGCACTCTGATGTCCAGTTCTAAGTTTGGCTTTTGGCTAGTGGCTTGTTTAGCGGAGCACGTAGGCGGTGCATCGCAGGCAAGAATTCGCTATAGTGGCTGATCAGCCCACAAAAGGAACGCAAGGACTGTAGATCTGTTAGTGAAGGCATTTTTCTAATGGCTTCTTTATGTGATTCCATATGTTCCTGAAAATAATCTTGATATCAGAGGCAGTGTCGAATTGCAGTTTCGTTGGGATCCCATTGATAAACACACTGACAGATCGTGGTCTCGGTTTACAATCATTTTGGAATGCGGCAACTATGGACAGACTCTGCGCCATCTTTCCTAGAATTCCTCTTTCGATAAGATTACATGTTCTTCGGCCGGACCTAACTGCAGAATTCCTTCTTATGGTACGGTTGACCAATATGACGTTTGAACGGACAAAAGCGCGCAAAATGCCATTCGCCGCTTGACCAGCATGCTGTGGATGGTTTGTTGGTAGATCTCTTGAAGGGTTTGTTTGGGCTGGCAGTCCTGGCCTTTTTCACGAGTTGCACGGTATCTGGTGGTGCGAGACCATTCCGTTCGACCAGGGCAGTGTCGTATTTTAGAGCGAGCAGCCGTTTGCATTCGTTTACGAGGGCCTTCAGTGTGAGGTCAGGATCCTGATCCAGCTTAGCTAAAAGCCGCGTGTGGATCTCAGCATCAATAGGGGATTGTAGACCGCTGACGAAAATGAGACATTGATCGTCCGTTAAAGAGCGTAGTTTGAAACGCTCACACTTGCGATTAGTCATGTCTGCTAGGACTCCAAAGTCATCCGATTCCCGTTTGAGAATTTTCAGGCATTGATAGCGAATACTAAACAAGAATACTGACTCATCAAAAATTTTCCCTCAGCTACGACACTGCTTCGTCGAACGTCAGATCCTTCAGCTGTTTGGGAAGAATGTGGTCTGTGAACCTTGAATGTTCACTTATTCCGAGCTTGCGGAGCAGCAGTCGCACCTTCCATGAGTCGTCCTGACAAATGAAGTCCATCCGGAACATGTCTTCCCAGTGCTTGAACAACGCTTCGAATGTGCGGCCAGAATCCGAGTCATAATTGAATTCAGTGATTGCATTCGTGAAAAGATAAATAGAACTCGCCTGCTTGTCCGGCGTCGCTGCTCCTGTTGTCTGCAAACTCAAGCATTGTGTAAGGTTTTCGATCATTTTCATCTGTGCCTTCATTTGAGATTGCTGTTGGAAAAGCAGCTTTTGAAATAGTTCAGCAGAAAATATCACCACAGTTCCAATTTTCTCAGTCGTCATTTGTCATAATCTTCTCACTAGACGCAATTCCGAAATTGGCACTTTACTGCTCCACCAAACTTCTAGTCCAACCAAAGAAAAAAGCAGAACACCAATGACTTTGACAAAATAACACGTTAACCGCCGTCAACAAAACACGACAACTACTGTGGACCTGGAGTGTATGCATAGGTCTCTTACTGACCTTCGACTTCTGTAATTGGAAGGTCAACTACCAAGGTTAGTGGTTTCTCATGGATTTGGCCGAGATGTCAGATGTTTGGTAGTCGCGTGCAGAACGTAGGAAATTCCAAAACGTCCGAAATCGATGCGATAATCGTTAATAATGGATTATTCGCTAAAACAGTGGATTTTCTAGGCAATTCTTACTTTCTCCCGGATAGTAAGTTTACCTGATTTCTCATACATGATTCTAGTTCTGAGGCAATGCGACGAATGAGGGTGGAGAGCAGAAACTTACTACCGCGTCAAGGTGATACTACTTCTGCGAGCATAAATGACCGTATTGTATGGTAAAGTTCCGACTAAGTGGTTGCGGTAAAGACAGCATTAGTTAGATGATGAATGACGTTCCGATGTTAAGAAGTTTACGGTTCAAAAACACAGCTGGTACGCGCTGAGAGTATTCGGGGATCCTTGACTACTGATGTCTGTGAAGCATTGCTTATGTATAGTGCAGTCTATAAACCGCAATTCATCATCTAATCCTGGCAAAACACTCCGGCGCCTCGCTGGGGCGTTTTTGGACTCAACTCACTTTTGTCGGTTCAGTCGTTTTCTGCATCCCGTGAAGCCGTTGCCACGGTGTATGGATTATTGCTCAATAATGCGCCCAGTAGCGTGAAACCTCGAAGTTGTCAGCCAATGACATGGAAGAGGAAACGCACCGGCTTCGGTTGGTTCCCGTTGGCTTCTCGGATGTTAATCTCGGTAGCAGTTACATCAGGGAATAGTAATTTGTGTAGTCAGTGGCGATCTTGCCTTCGCTCTCTTGTTTCTGACCGGTAGACATTCCGTCAGAATAATTAACGTCTTACTCCTTTCTCATGCACTATGCAAGTTTTCACTGTTATGTTAGCGCGAAGTGTTACAGCAACTGGGTAGGGGATGAGTCATAGAGGGGAAACTGAAATGAACTCCGCACTTCACATTCTAATATTAGTCAGAGCCAATTGCCAGTGAACGATGATCCAATCAAGCGCACGGGAATGCCATGGATTCAGATGACCTTTTGGTGAATCCGTAAGGGTCACTCTCTACCAAACAGTTAAATACACTGATACGTGAAAGTGGAACATTAGACTAGGATGTGGACAGTACAAAATAGGTGAATCGTAAGAAACGAATTAGAGAGAACAGCCTAATCGGCTGGATACCGCATGATAATACATTATCCGTTCAGCTACATGGGGGTGTCTAAGCATCAGAAGCAAGAAATCGGAAGCCTTTCCCGCCAAACGATCTCATCGGCATTAGATGCTCTGCGGACAATGTGAAGTAAATCAGAACTGCAAGGTGTGTGCCTAAACACATTAGCCGCCACTAGCGATACGCAACTGCATGGGGATAGTGAGGGCAAAAAGAAGTTAAGTACAAAGGTGCTCTAAGTATGTAATTGTAGTGAATAGAGGATCGCATGTGATCACAGCAGATTCGAATGGAAACGCCCACACCATGGATGGTATAAGGGATGCGTATACAGAAGTAATTCCATAAGGAGTAACCTAATGATGAAACTCGAAGCGCTTGTGTGTACGCTGAGTGAAACACAGCCTAGCCCAGCCAAAAAAAATCGCCAGTTGTACGCCGTGACGGTGCTTCGCTGCCACGCGACCACCACTAGTCGCGCGCGAGCTGAGTATACCGCGACGAAGTCCACCCATACGCGGATTCCAACCGTGGCCCTTATGGTTGAAAACCAGGCGCGCAGACCACTGGGCCACCGACCTAGCACAGCAATTACCATTAAAAGTTGGCCGGTCCTAGGAGATTGCATTTGTAAGCTTTTTTCACCTGCAGATGAACCAGACTTGGTGGAAGCGTAAGACAGCGACCAACCATCAAAGGTAATTAACCCACATTAGTCAAAGAATAAATGTGACTTGATCAGGTCCCAAGGCAGTCAAAATGCACTTCACTGAGTTGTAGTCTGCTTAATTGATTTGAAATTGATGAGAAAAATGCGACTCAGAAAGTAATTAACCAGGAATAGACGCGTGAGTACAGTGTAATACAGTGAATGGGAATGGTTTGTAACAAACCCACCAATTCGAATTTTTTCAAATTTTCGACGAACGAAGAATAAGAATCAAAGAGCTTCGAGCCAAGGTGCTTCTCGAAATGCGGTGATATGTCCCATGCTGGTAAACCCAAAACAAAGAGTTCAGATGATAAGCATAATCTTCTCTGCTCTGCGGTGCATACATCAAGCAGATCTTCCTCGTGGTTGCGTCGCAAGTTTCGCACATCTACATCATTTAAGCGCTTTTTGAAATTGTCCCAAACAAATTTTTTGATGGTCGAGTCATCGCGGACCAACTTTGGTTCAAGCTCTTCTACCTCTGTAGGTGTCAACAAACAGCTGTAGTCATGCAGCAGGTATCCCGGAGCACTGAGTTCATGATTGTGTAGAACATATGCTGAGACCACTTTGAAAACATCATCGACCAACTGAACTTCGAAGCACGCCGGACAATCAGGAGTAGTGCTAAAAAATGTTTGTTCCGCAGCAATCTATCTAATACTTACGAATGTTTGGATGAAGCTAGTACGTTGATATAACACGTGTAAAAAACACGGCGAAAGGTTTGACCAGAGTCAACAGAGCTGTCTTTGATGGCATACAACGTCTCCGTACACTGGAAAGCGGTTAAGGAACTGCACAGACATACCTTTTGGAAAACGCGCACGTCTTTCTCAAACTCACTGAATGTGGGATACACCTTTCCATCGAAGTAATCTTTGAATGTTTTGGTTATATCGCAAGACATTGCAAAATGACGGAATGATTACTGCAAGGGATAACAAAGATTGAAGAAAAGCAATGAAAAGCTGGGTTTCGAAAATCGAAAAAGTGAACCTGTCTTACTAGACTGAAAACTCACAGATACTGTTGAAAGTGTTATGGACGCAGCTCGACTCGTTAAGAGCAGCTGGAACAGAGAACAAATGTACGAGTCTGGTTCCATGGTGAAGTAATGATAAGGAAATAAACAGAAATGCAAATGTGCACTCAGCCAAGCAATGGAAGGCTCTTACCGATTAAGAATGGGGCTCGTACGCAGGCCGTGTTAGGTAATACTGTATCTGAACAACAGATACTAACCACCACAAATAAAAAAGTAAATAGGTGAGTAATAAACATGAGTTTGCCTTTGTCCCAATGACTGACAGCAAGCAAGCTGGAGTAACAACAAAAGGATTGCTAAGGTTTGTATGGAAAAGGAAAAAATCAGAAAAAAGAATACCCAGTACACTGAGGCAAATAACATCGAGTCTAGATATATGTACACGGTATTTTGAATACATTCCCCGGACTGACCGCAGATTCGAACACAACGGCCGTCAATTACGCCAGAAACTACAGTAGGATATCAATCGGGGCCCGGAGATAAGCAAGAGGAATGGGTAAAAAGTAAAGAAAAGCTGCAGTAGCAGGAGCAGTTTTCGCTGTATGCAGCAGACAAGGCGATCGTTTTGAAATTGCTCAATGGTCGTTGTAAAATGCAGTTGAACGCTGAAGACATACATAGACTTGGATATTACCAGGGCATCCACACTTAAGCAGAAGGAAGGTTAGGGTCCTGTGCCCAAGTCCTTCATTCAAAAGCCCAATCGCAAGACATCGGGAGTGGCAGGCATCCAAATTTACAAAAGTAGGTAATTCACTATAACATGCCCGTCTGAAATCTATCCATTGACTAACCTACAAATATTTCTCAATGGCAAGAAGAAAGCACCCAGTGCGACTCAATGAGAAGAGTTAAGCAAGCCTCCGTACGCTGTTAAGGCTCAGTGTTGTCGCAATTGGCCATTGTAGGAATGGTGATCGATTAGCCGTAGATTTTTCTGACTGCAACTCTAATGAAGGTAACGCTGAAATACATCGTCAGCGCTGCACCACATGGAACCCACTAAATAACAATGCTGTGTAACCGAAACAACCACAAATGGCGTATTTCAGTGCAAGATTGTTGGTGGACACGGACGGTCCATTCAATTCCGGACGCAAGCTGCTGCGAGTGATCCGATCTGCGATTTTGCGAAACAGCATTATCAAATTATGAAGTAGACCATCAATTAACATCCGTGAGGTTTTGTTTAGACACACTGAAGATCAAAATCGTTGCTAATGAGACCCGGACAAGGTCGATTGAAACCCGGAGGGTAGATGAGCGGGACCAACCGTCTCAGAGTATCCGCAACATACTGAAACAGCGTCTAATGAGGGCCTTTTGGATTAGTCGGAGTGCTTGTTCGTGAAATGGAGAATGATACAACAGCCAAGCGACGCCGGAGTACGAAAAATTAGGGTTGAAAAAGCGAAGATCCGTTTATGTCGACCTAAAAGTAGGGCAAGTATTTGTACAGCGATTAAGATAGCCCACCATTTCATCACTATGATCCGAATTGAGTTGAATCAAACCGGACGAAGGTGTCGGAATTGCCACTCGCAACAAAGATCGGCACATACCAGAGCTGTTAAAGAAGCAAAGTGAAGGATTTGTTCCACCGTTGTTAAAAAATCCGTAGTGAACCAACAATTGTTAACTAAGCGTATCAAGATAACACTAAACGCTGCAGAGATTAAGTGTCTTCCAATTTGTAGTCGGTAAAGATCAGTTACAGTAGTGAACACTCCGACTACCGATCAAATGATATCGAGTGAAAACGTCAAGGTAACGTGAGTGAAACCAAAATAATTAATGGATTAGTGTCTTGTAATGGTTATCGCCAACACACCACCATAGACCCCGAGTAGTGACCATAAGAATGAAGTAATAGTGAAGTGTAGCTCTCAATGGAGGATCGCAAAGCCCATGGACAAATAATTTAGTTCGAGATATCCACATGATCCTGATACAAACGGTAGGACAGCATGTGAAGATATGGTGGTGGAGACGAGATGGAGCCCTCAAGATTTGTAGTGATCTTTGTCTCGATCAACCCTAGTCCAGGAATAACAACCCAGCGCATACGGTAAACAGGCGTTGAGAACATGTGCCGTCTTTAACGACTACTGTTTGAGGATCGCCCGTGTGTGGTGGTAACATCGAATTTACAGTGATGACGTTGGACATCGCGTCCTGCGGAATGCAAGTATTCCATTTAACAAGCCGAGTTTGCTGCGCCAGTAGAGATGGCTCGATCACGTCTCGCGCATGAGCGTTTGCGTGCCGTGCTCTATATGTTCGTGTAAAGTTTGGCTAGAGGTGACCATGTGGTGGTCAACCTTCCATCTTGCAACAGCACATGAAATCGCTGACATCACGTTAAGACGTTCGACACACATCTTGGATAGGGATCCGAGGACATGACAAGATTGAAGAGGTAGCTCATAAACGGAGCAAGTGAAAGAACTGCATGCAGAATGGTTTTCATTCATATGCTAAAGGTAAAGGAGAAAACAGTTGTTCCAACTTTACAATAATTGTACTTCAATTTGCTTCCACTGGCTCCAAATGCAATTGCACTTACACACAAAATAGGATAGGCTAAGTGCATTATTCCACTTTATTTGATATACCGGTTCGGATTTTTTGCTGCATATAACATGTCAGGTTTGCGTGTTTATATTCCGTCAAATTACGTGTTGGTGGTTTGATAGACCCGGTGTGGCTGCACCTGAAATGAATTCTGACAAGGTTCCGACCTATCGAAACTGCAACTTTAATTACACTTGGTTTTTGCTTGGGGAGACAGCGTGCACGGTCTTCGTGACCGTGCCAGGCACAAAGAACAGTCCCATGCATCCAGTGTGGAGCGCGCTATGCAAGATTCCCCAATTACATAGGAATGCTACTGATGTACATATTGGAGGAATGTGGGCTGGTTCCATTAATGAAACGTGGTTCCCGTCTACGTGCCACCCGGTCTCATCCCTTCGGGTTTACACTGGATATGGAGTCACAACCAATCAACAACGGCAGTACATCAGCCACTTGAACTGGTGCTTCGCTGCCATACAACCATGAGGACCTATGAAGTAAAGAACAATAAGCGGGAGAGGAGAGGGACTTATCGGAAAACCTTCATGCTCTAAACAAATATTCAGGGTCAAGGCGCCTACACCTTGTGTTAGCAACATACCATCACAAACACCTGGCTATCGTGCAAAGATAATAATGATATCAAATAATGGGACCACACTATAACTATTCTAGGACAAATGAAACCATAGCCCTTCCGAATTCCTCCTTAAGCAAAACATGATCATCCATAGATCTTCCAAGATGGTCCATAACGCTTTCAAGTTGAATCTAGCGGGCATGTAATCTTTTAAATGCTACAGTTCTATGAGGGACCAAACCCAAATGAAAGATTATCATCCCACTCTGTGTGCTCATCTGTTAATATATCTGATAATTTGTGATTAGTCACTCAATGAACAGCACGCAATCCTTAGGAGCGTTTGCGCTCGTGGGATTCAACTTGAAAGCGTAATGGACCACCTTCAAAGATCTATGGATGAACATATTTTCCTTAATGAGAAATTTGGGAGCGCTATGGTTGCAGTATCGAGAGGTTACTCAAGGTTGATTGGGACGCCCCAACATCGTCAAAAAAAGACGATATCGTCCACATAATCAAGAACAAACGGCTCCATCCAGCGGTCTACAGAAAAAATACGTGGATTGGTCAGTACACGAATTTTCACAGTTTCGTCCCGTTGAGATGTAAGTGAGGCTTAATCCACTGCTTTACCAAAAGAGCACGTAGAATTTGCTCACAGGACACCCTGGATGAGAAACTAGCCTTTATAAAGAATACGCTGCGCGAGAATAGCTACCCTGATAGATTAGTTGCAAAGAATTTTGAAGAAAAGCCCAAGCCAGCGAAGTTATTTTTAAGAATACCTTTTAAGGGGGATGCCGCTGCTGAGCGTCTAGACAAGTCTTTCAGCGGCAGTCAAGTCGACATTCCCATCAGCCAGGTTAAAGTGTACATTTTCTACTGAACCACTTGTTTGTTCACGCAATAAGGATATGCTACCATTGCTGACCTCATCTATGGTTATTTATCAGTTCAAGTGCACTTGTGACGCCACTTATATTGGTCGAACGGCACGGCACTTTTCCAAACGCGTGAAGGAGCACTACCCGCGCTAGTTGCGTCAAGGAGGAACTGGGGCCATTAGCAGCGCCGTTTTGGCCCATATTCTCGACACGGAGCACCAAATTGAGCAAAGAGTGCCTTCAGGATAATTTGCATGGTCCCCCAGCATAAATCAAGAGGTTTTCGACTCCGTGCGCTCGCGACAGCTGAATCGACTTGCATTCGGTTGTTTCAACCTTCATTACGCTCGCAAAAGTTGGTCCATGCCTTACAGCTTCCTTGGTCAGCTAGAACGAACGATGCTGAGGTCGTTTGCCACAGATCAAGCTCGGTACCATGCAATCGACCTGTCAGGTCAAAGGTCAACTTTTAGCCTCCCTCGCTGAACTGTTAATTAACTGCGTAATTCGAGCCAATGAGTCGATTTCAGTTCATTATGTTACCCTTAAATATGATTATAATGGTCTGAAGAAAATCATCAAAAACACTTGTTCATCTATGGTCTCGTGTTCTTTTGACACTAAATGGGAATTTTCAAGTTGCAAGAACAAATAACCTTTCACCAAGCATGACCTCAAAGCCAACATAGTGAGATTCCGTAACGAAACACTCCATGATGGAGTCCACGACGAAATTGAACAGAAATGGGGAAATCGCACAATCCAGACGAAGGATACTTGTGGCCGGAAAGCTATCCGTCATCGTAGACCATGACGCGGCTTGTAGTGTTCGAGTGTAGAGACATAGGATGTTCACATATTTCGTGGGAATATCTTAGCGCGCAAGTATTTCGAACAGAATGGGTCAATCGACTGAGTAGAACGCAGTCTTGTAGTCGAGGAACACTGCTACTGTCGGTCTGCGGTATGCGTGGTGCT